CCTCCTCCAGGCCGAAACCATTCTCCTTGATGTACTCGTCGATGATCTCTAGGGGAGAAGCAAAAACTGGGGATGACACGGTTAATCGAAGCGAAGGCCGATTAACCCCAGACCTGTTCCACCCCTGCCTTTTCCAATCCATTTATTTCTTAAAGACAGATGGCGTGCTGGAGTGCCCAGAGCGGGCCTCAGCCCCCCAGCTCCTGGCCACATGTTCCCCAGAGTGCCCCAGTTGCTGAAAAGCTCAGGGGAGGTGTGTGTGGGGGGCTAGGCTGGTGCCTCCTTCGCTGCCCTCCCACAGTTCCTGGCCTCTTGGGTCCTTGCCCCCAGCACCTCTCACCTGGATAAAGGGCGGGGCCCAGCAGCCAAGGCCCAGCAGCCGGGCCCTGCCTCTATCTGGCCGGGTTGAATGAGGAGCGTTATAGCTGCTCTGCCCCAGCAGTTCCCATCTCAGGAAGCACCAACGCCTACAAAGTGCGCCAGCTGGAAGGTCCCACATCTTTGCTAACTGCTCCTGAGCCCACAGTTGCCCTGTCCCAATCCAGGAAACGCTTCTACCTCCACTGCTTGTTTACATACCTGATTCTCCCCACCCCACCACCTCTGCCCTGGCCCTTCGCTCCCCACCTTGAGAAGCGGCTGCTGTGCTCCACCTGGCCTGCTCTGGTCCCCAGCTCCCCACGTAAAACCTTCCCCAAACTCCACTCATCTCAGAAGGACACAGAGCCTTGTGATCAGGACTGGACAGACCCCATGCCCATCCCCCGCTTTTCTGAGCCTTCCTTCTATCAAGCCTGACTCTTATGGGTCTTGTCCGTGCACTCCAGCGGCCTTTCACTCTCTCTGCATTCACCCTGCTCTGGCTCTTTCCCATCTTTGCTGCCCCGCTGTGTCACAGTCCAGAAAGGCCGCAGGTGTCTTCTTGCCACCTCTCCCTCCTATATCCTCCCCGGCCCTTAACCAGATCAAAGGTGGTCATGTTTATTTCTCCCTTTTCCTGCTGTCTCCCCACTGGAGTGTCAGTTCCACAAGGGCAGGAGTTTGTGTGGCTTGTGGCTGAATCACTGGTCTAGAACGGTGCCTGGCATGTAGCAGGTGTGGAACACGATGCAGTACTAGTAGCCAAGGTTACCAGCTTACTCAGCTTAGGCTGAGCCTTTCCAAGGACAAGCACCTTGGGAATGTCATTTTGTTCAATTTCCCCAACTGTCCCCCCAACGAGGAAGGCAAGGGTCCCCCTCAGCCTCCCTCCAAACCTGCCTTGTGATACTCACCCAATTCATCTGTGGAAGGAAGAGAAAGACAAGAGAAAGGTGAGGTCCAGAAAGTAGTAAAGACTTTTCATCTTTTAAGACAGACTCCCAACCCCATCCTTGCTGCAACCCTCCTTCACCTCCAAACTGGGAAACCTTGAGCTGTGATTCCATGGGGTGCCAAACTCCAATCCCCATTTTTCCCTTCTGGACTCCCCTCCCACTAACTCCTTGCATTGTAGGTCCCAGCCATAGGGAATCTCATATGCCTCCCCTAAAACTGTTAGGCCGGGGATTTTGAAGCACTGTTGGGAAGCCAAGGAAGAGCCAAGGGTCTTCTCACCAAGAAAAAAAAAATGGACACCCAAGATTCTGCCTAAACTGTGGGGGTGTTCCCTCCCTAAAGCCCATCCTAGAATCCTGAGCTGGTGACACACTCCAAGGAGGCTGTTCTTCCACTGCTGGGCAGTTAGCTACTCCACATCCCCACCCACCCTCCTGCAGGGTCCACCCACCATCCCACTGCAAACCCCCCCACCCCCCAATTCCTTAGGGTTAGTGATTGTTGTGCTGGGAAGCCCCTTATCAATGCTTCAGGAAGTCTTGGCCCTGGAAGGGGCCATGGAGAAACCGAAACCAACCTCCAGTCATTCCATAGACAGGACCAGGGGAGGCCAGAAGAGCAAGCCAGCCTGGTGGCAACTCAGCATGGGAGGGCAGCCAGGCTAAGCCCCACCCAGGTCTGCCCATGCTGGCCGCTGGCCGTGCACTTATCGATGCCAGCCTCCTTTGCTGCCCAACCTGTCCTCACTCTCGGGGAGTGGCTCCTGGCAGCCAGACCTTTGCTCCTTGCAAGCAGTTTCCCTGAATCCTTATCTCCTACAATCTGTGAGGTCAGCAGGGTGGGAGCGAAACCCCTATTCAGTAGCTGGGGACATTGAGGCTGGGAGAGTGGAAGGGACATGTCTCAGGTCAACGGCAAGGCCAGCTTCAAGTCACTTCAGCTTGGAAAGACCTCTCCAGGCATCAGCACTGGATGACCCAGGAGCCCAAACACAGTGAGACTTGGGGCTGGCAAAGAGCCCTTAGGCTGCAGGGGACATGGAGGCCCAGGGGACAGCAGTGGCTAGTGCTCGGAACTGCAGTTCAAATCCTGGTTCCACTAACACACTACCAGTGGGCTGAAGCCTATCACATGACCCCTTTGGACCCTTGGTTTCTTCATCTATAAAATGGACACAATGATGCCAGCCTCGTGGGGGTGCTGTGAAAGTGAAATGAGTTATTACATGGCAAGCACCTGAAACTGCCACAAATACCAGGCGCTATGTGAATGCTGGTTGCTACTGAGTAAGGTGTTGGGAGATATTCTTTTATAGACATGGGTAACAGGCTCTCTAGCCCTATTTGTCTATAAAATAGAGACTGGAAGATACGGCTTCGCAGCATGGGGTACGGATTCACACAAATGTTAGTTTGAATCCCAGCTGTCACTCACCAGCTGTGTGGCCTTAGGGAAGTCACTTAACCTCTCTGAGCCTCCTTTTCTATAAAATGAGTTCTGACCTCCTGTCTCTGACCTTGACATGAGGATGTAGGATCACACCACTTAGCACAGGGTCTCACCACTCTAAGTCCTCCATAAAGCTTGCCTAATATTATCACTATCTAAAAATCTTGCCTTCAGCCAAGAAAAAAATTCCTCTCCTTATTGGGAGCTTAGATCAAATAACATCTCACACTCCAAACCCCCATATAGACCTGCCATCATTCCGGGGCAGCCAGGATGGTTCTTACTTACAGTAGACCAGCTATGTCTTTCCTGCCTCAGGGATTTTGCATAGGATAGTCTCTGCCAGAATACTCTTCCTCCAGTTCTTTGCAAGGCCTTCTCTCCCTTTAGATGTCACCTTTTTGATAGGGCTTCCCTGACCACTTCATCCAAATGAGTGCCTAGGCTCCCCACTTCAGTCACTCAAAGTTGGGTTCCTTTGTTTGATTTTTTTTTTTTTGGTGGTACTAATTAAGATCTGACTTGACTTTATGTCCCAGTGACTCATCTCTCTCCTCCTATAGACAATGCACACCACAGAGTGGGGGACCTGCCTGTCCCAGCTCCACTGCACACCCCAGGCCCAGGATGTGTCTGGCCTGTTGGATTAAGGGAAATTTCCCCTCCCATTCTATCTTGTCTTCCTCCCACCCCCACTCTGTTCTTAGATATCACTGATTGCTTCATAGCCGTGGTCGCATTTTATATTCCAACACTTATTGTTTATGAATCTGTCTTCACACTTCCATAGGAAGCTCACAAGGGAAGAATCAGAATAGTCTCAATCACTGCTGAGTCCCCTGCACTGCCCAGCATAGGGCCAGGTAGTGAACAGACAATCCATAAATATTTGTTGAATGGATGATGTCAGAAATCACTCACAATTGAAACCAAAGGTAAAGATCTTGAGTCAGAAAAACTGCAGCCATGTTCATGGCCCAAACCATTCCCAACTTCATCAGCCTCCAAACTGTTGGAGAGCCCTCAAGAGCTCTCTCACAGCTAAGCCAGCATTTCTGGGTACATGCCATGATTTAATCTCCAGAGGAAGGTCCAGACCCAGAGCACTTTTCTTAGGTAGTACCGAATTTTGGCTGGCACAAGTTGAGGGACAAGTTCCCATCTTTGGGGAACTTGCTAAAAAAGCAAAATCTCAGGGCCTATCTTAGATTTGCTGAATCAGAGAGGTCCTAACAATCTGATCTAGCAAGCTCTGAGTGACTCTGGTGTCCACAGGGGTTACTAATACCTGATGTTATTGTTCTTATTATGCCACTGACAATTAACACTTCCTAGGCCTCTACTGTGTGCCCATTGAATCCTCCCAATCCCCCTAAAAAGGAGTCACTGATATTATTTACACCCATTTTACAGATGAGAAAAAACTGAGGCCCAGAGAAGGGAAGTGACTTTCAGGCATCCACACAATGAAGGGGTGATGGCAGCAGCATAAAGCTCAATTCCAAGGCCCAAGGATTCCTGTTAGACCCTAAATATGAATAGGTGGTTAGTTTTGCCTGTCCATCTTCTAATGGAGGTGCACACAGCTCAGTGGGGAGGGAGGGACACAATCTTTAAGAGTAAAGCTGAGGAGGACCCTGAGAAAACCCCCAGTCAGGGGAACCCAATGCCACCTCCACAGCATACCCCCTCCCCTGTTCTAAGCAGGCAGCTGGGCAGCTCACCCGTGGTCCTGGAAACAGCCAGTGAGAGCGAGATGTCAGCGGACCCTGCGGGGAGAGAGGCAAGCCTCAGGAGGAGGTAAGAGAGGCAGCAGTGGGTGGGCCGGCCCCGCCCTGCCCTCCCCCCACCCCCATCCTGCCCCTTCGGGTCAGGTCCCTCACCCTCATCGCACACAGGGTCTACCTTGCGTCTTCCCTAATTCACGTCTAGTTTCGCCATCCACACCGCACTTTATCACAGTCAGGCCCGCTCCTTCACTTGCTATAAGCCGAGCCTGGAGGAGCCCTTTTCAGCTCAGTTAGGAAAGTCCCCACCCTCTTCCTTCTCCTGGGGTCAGATCTTACCCCTACGCTTTTTCAGTGTCAAGCCTGTCTCCTTGTCCCTCTCCGAGTCAGACCCTGCCACTTCTCTCCCGAGAGAAACCGCACCCCCTCTTCTTCTCCGAGTCAAGCCCCTTCTTTTAGGAACGCGCCATCCTTTCTCTGCCAGAGTCCGACACCGCCCCTTCTTCTCCCTCTTGTTGTCTACCCACCCGCTTCGCTCCCTCAGGCCCTGCCCCCTTACTCTGAGTGGGCCCTAGCTTCCTCCTTTGCACTATGCCCCGCCCTCTTCTAGCTCTCAGGGTAGGGCCCCGCCCATCCCGAGACAGGCCCCGCCCTTTTGTCGCTCTTGGGACCTCGCCCCGCCCTCTCCTCGACCACTCGGAGATTGGCCACACCCCCGCCGCGGCGGATCTGCTCCCGCTCCTCCTTCTCGGAGGCACGCCCCGCCCTCTCTCACTGGGATGGGACCCGCCCCCTTCTTTGCCTCAGGGTCAAGCCCCGCCCCCTTCTCACTCTACAGTGGGACGCCTCTCCTTTACCTTGGGTCGGACCCCGTGCCATCCTCTGCCACCTTCCTTTGCTCTAATACTGTGTCTCCCAAGCCTCTCTCCCTGTGAACCCCCCGATCTCGTAGGAACCCCCACACTATTCCGGGGCCCCAGGACCCCTGCATCTCCAGAGCCGCCCCAGACTCCTCTCCTAAACCCTTCTTACCCAAGGCCCCCGGCTCCGGCGCAGCGGACGATCTGGCGACGCGGCGACTCGGCATGGCCCGACCAGTGGGGACGGACGGCCCGGAGGCCAGCTCCGACCAAAGCACACACGCGAGCAGGCCGTGCGGTGACAGCGCACAGTCCGGTGGACGATCGTGGGGCAGGCGAGCGGCGC